ATTAGTATGTGCTTAAGTTTTTTGCATGGCCAGGATCTTGCTAGCCATGGATTTAGCATATTTTACACAAATATTTCATTTATATTTATTTCAGTTTAAAAGCCATTTTGGTGAGGTATCAAGACCTGTAGTTACATGCAGGACTTTGGTACCTCACTGCCTGTTTAAGCACCTAAGTGGGTGCCCTAAATTGAGGGCACTCTTGACATCCCCAAAAGCCCTGCTGGGTTGCCACCCAACCCTGTTGGTGTCTAAAATTCCTTTGGAAAAGTCCCCTAAAGGTGCCTACATTTCTGCCAGTGAACAGGGGCATATCTACATGTCCTGACATCACAGATGCAGTTACTAACTGGCTTGTAAATGAAGATATATTTATATTAGCTCTCTGTCATATTAGATCCTGAGCCAAAACTCAGTGAAATAAGTGGTAGTCTGTGTTTTGACTTCAGTGGGCTTTGAATGTTCCTTAGTAGTTGATCCTTAATTAAAACAAACCTTCCAAATGGAAAATATCCTACACCCATTTGACAGGTTGTCTGAAAAATAATTTAAGCTCCATTACAGAGAGAAAAGTCACCATTCAAAATAAAAATGTATGACCTGAAATGACTGTTGGATGATCAATGATCTGAAACAATGAGACTTTCAAGAAAACAAACAGCAAATCACTCCAAAATAGTAATATTTTTAAAGGAAATTTTTTCCAAACTCACATATTGGGATCAAAGTATGTACTTGAAATGCTCAGGATGAGACTGTCTTCCAGACTCTTTTCTCCTCATTCCCCACCCATGCACACAAGTACCATTCAATCCTCAGCCTTTTCACTAGTATGGTGTCATGAAACAATACTGTGTGTTACCAAAGACATATATTAAAATGAGAAAAGAAGTTACAAAACAGTGAGGACAAATGATACTAAATGACAAATGATTAAGGCAAAAAAAGAAAGCACAACAGACATGAAGGACACTAAAGTTCAGGAGAGCCTGGCAAACATGGCACTTGTATTGTGCCACTTACAGTAAGAGAAAGGCTGTGGAAGAAGGGTACATATGGGTGGTAGGAATGGAGAAGGCCCAATAGCAATAAAAAAATGGAATAAAGGAAAGGCTGTGCCGATGATGGAGATTCTAAAAGGGATTATATAAAAGGGGGAAGTCTATTGAAAATATATGGATGAAAAGATAGATGGATAGAAAATAGTGAAAAAAGAAGCTGATCATGAATAATGCAACATTTAATGAAGTAAAAGAAAGTTCCTTAACAAAGATTGAAATCTTCAAAAATGCATGACACAAGAAATTAATTGAATGGACTGATAAGTTCATAAGATTCCAAATTAATTTACTGCCTGAGTACCTATGCAAGAAGTTTAATTAAAGCAGTTTAGACAGCACTTCATGCACAGCTTTTCTCCTGCTTAGTTTATAATCAGTTTTTAAAGAACTGAATACATTTATAACCCATATTAATATCTGTAGTCATGCAAGCTAAGCAGATGATGACCTATGGAGATCAGGAAGTAAACTTTCCCAAATAAATGAACCTAGCTGGGTTGATTTAGTTGGGATTAGTCCTGCCTAGAGCAAGGGGCTAGACTTAATGACCTTCTGAGGTCTCTTCCAGCTCTATGATTCTATGATTCCATGAAATATACATAACTGCTCCGTTAACAAGATGCATTATGGAGATTTTTACTTTCCCTTCAAGCATTAAGGGTTGCTTAAAAACAGTCAGGGGAAGGATAACCAAGTAAAGGGATTTATTTAATGCATTATCTGCATTCTTATATGGTACCATCATAAGATCTCTGTCCATGTGATTAAAAAAATGAACTGGGAAAATTACAATCAAGTTGTTAAAAGATAAGGAGCCCAATCTTGCTTCCATTGAAATCAATAGCACGAATCCCTTTGCTTTTAATGGACTTGATCCTGTGTCCACGAAAGTGGACCATGGCCAGGATCAGTGAGAGTGGGATTTATGCAAGCGGCAGGACTCAGTGAATCTTCTTAATCTGAATTAAATAAATCAAACCTAAGTTAGACCATATAATCATCACAGATGATTTCATCTTGTCATCCATAGGTGGTTGAAGTTTCATGCTATGGCACTGACTATCATGCACTTGGCAGGATGCCCGATACATTTGCCCATTCTCCTTATCCACATAGCATATGCATTCAGTATCAATATAACTACTCCTATTTGGCATTAGGCACAAAGATACAGGTGAGACCTCCCTGGTCAAGCACCCTGAACCTGAGTGGTCCCGAACCAGGGAGTTTGCTGAACGAGGGAAGGTCAAACCTCTCCATCTGGCTGTATACTCTGCTCATAGCCAGGGCTATGCTCCCTGCTGCCGCCACGCTGCCTTCAACCCCTGCACCATGCCAGTCCCTGCCAGGGTCCAGCCCCACTGCTTCCAGCCCCAGTCGGGGCTCCCACCACTGGCCCCAGACCCGCCTGGAGCTGCGCTCCCTACTGCCAGCTCTGATCGGGGCTGTGCTCCCCACCGCACCACCAGCCTAGCCCAGGCTGCTTTTCTGAACCTGGCTATCTTGGGCTCTCTGGCCAGCAATATCCATGGTCTGCCAGACCATGGACATTGCCAGACCAGAGAGTCCTGGATTTTAGAGGTTGAACCTGTACTGAGCACGTCTACTAGTTGCCATTGTTAACATAGGTGTCTGCTCTGGGTGGGTTCTGATGCTGGCACACCCACAGATAAAAAATGGCTACTCAGCACACACCAGTGGGACCTACCAATCAGTTTCACACCAGCCTCCTGCCCACCACAAAGCACCTCTTCAGCAACAGGCAGGAGGAATGTGGGTGGAGGAAGAAGCAGGGGTAGGAAGAGGAGGAGCAAGGGCAGGGAGCACTCAGGGGAGGAAGCAGAAGTGAGTGTGAGATCTTAGGGGCAGGGGAGTAGAAGGATGGGGTATAGGGCAGATCAGGATTTGAGCACCCTCCGAGAAATCAGAAAGTTGGTTAACAAGCATTTCAAATATTTGGATTTTTTTAAGAGCTATAAGGATAGCCAAGCACTGGGACAAGTTAAGAAGGCAGGATTGGAATTACCCTCCTTAAAGGCTTTTAAGAACAGGTTATCATGTATGCTCTTGGTATATTTGGTCCTGAACTTGTGGATTAGGGCCAGACTACATGACCTCCTGAGGTCCTTTCTAGCCCTACCTTTTCCTGAGTGTGATTCTAATATGAATGGAATAGAACACTGACACAAAGTAATGAGTCTCAGCTGCTAACTCACTCCGTTAATGGGAAATGTCAAAGTGAAACTGAACTGAAGATTTCAATTTTCAAGAAACCTGGATGCTGTGAGGACATACTATTACAATGACTTCATTTACATTTTCCTAAGTGAGAGACGGATCATCTGGAAAATTGTTTGCAGGGAACATGTCTCTCCTGCACCACCATTGATGAGTGACACCTTAAGTAGATTTTGTCTGTTTTAACATTTTTTTAAAATAAAAAATGTTTAATTTTAAAAATATTTGACTATTATTTATCTAACCATAAATAATGATGTTACATGTAGCTCTCCTTTCTTCCACCAGTCTCCAAAGACTTTTGCACTCTCTGTGGACTGCAGTGTCACAGCCCTTATTCCGTTGCAGAGGGGAATAAATTCTCTTGCTCAGCCCTGTTACTACAATGCCAGCAGAAGGAGATGAGTGGAGAGGCATGGGAGGTAATAACCTCCCTGAGATTGAGTGGGGAAGAAGGTGGACAGGCATGAAGAGTGGAAGTAGTAGTGGCTGTGACCTGCGAGTGTTCTTACTCCTTTTTATTCCCCTGCACCGGCAAAGTCTAAGTCACATTTCTAACTCTTTGTATGAGGATGTTCTCAAATATGTTATTTGACAAATGCCACAAAGCAACAGCATTGAATAATTTAAACCTTGTACCACTGAAAATGTAAAAGGCGTTCTCGTATAAAAAGTCAAATTGCTTTGAATGTAAATACTGGCCTATCAGTCGAGTTATTCTGAGTGGCTACAGAAACATTAACAAAGTTATGGAAAACAATTTAAGGTAATTATCCCTCAAAATGCCTGATCCTTAAATTACTATATTGCATTACTTTCATTATGATTTAAAGGCACTACAGATCAGACATGACAATAAACAATTCAGTGTACATTAAACAATAAGTGATAGGTCACCTGAGAGACATTGATTTTTCAGCAGCAAGATCCACTCCTCGTTCCCACTCCTTTCTCCCCAAAAGGGTTGTTTGCTCTCCGAAGCCTGATTATGCCTGTTATGGTTTAACTCTATATCCTGGGATCACTAGTAAGAGCGGCAGAAACAGTAGGGATAGCATTATTAGCAATAGCTCTACTATGGATAGAGGCAATTTTAAGAGCAGATTACAATTGCTTAATTCTTCCATAAACTACCAGTACCTGTGCAGTTCATTCACAAGTAACTTTATTTGATAAGGGCTTTAGTAATGCATGTGTCCTAGGAATAAATTTGCTGCATCAATTTACAAATAACTGGCTCTTACACGCAAATACTGATGTCACAAAAACACACCCTTTCCACTGAAAGATTATGGTTTCCAGAATATTTGAAACCTACTCAATACACAAACCAGCTCAAGAATTGGCTTCATGTTCAGAAAAGGAAAGATCTAGTGTATACTGAAGTCAAGCAGAGTACTTCAGCAAGATTTTAAAAAAAGAGCTCAACACCCATGAAAGCAAGATTTTATGAGGAACTCAACTCCCATAAGTAGCCAGATTCCAAAAGAGTACACCACTTTGGATGCTGAGCTGCATACTGAGTTTCTTTTTTAAAAAATCTCACCTCAGCTATGAATGCTGAATCCTTGGAAATGTGTTCTTGTATATTTTTCTCCCCTCACTCATACCTAGTGCCAAATACCATTGGTTATAACGAAATAGAAAATCACATCAAATCAGTGTGCGTACCCACAAAGAGTCCAACAAGCCTTTTACTACTGAAGCAAAATATATTGTTTTCTTTAATGACAAGGAGAATTATGCCCAGGATTGAAAGAACGTACTGCAACAATACACACATGCAAAATGATCATTCATTGTTTCTAGTTACTGAATTCATTTTTACAATATTTACTCAATTTTCATGTTCATAATTTGAAATGTGTCAAACTGGTTTATTAAAGTAGTCAAGGTATTACTTGTGTGTATATGTAATAAAATACATGGTTTATATCATTTGCAATTATTTTTCTATTTAGTCCCCTTTATATTATGCATAAAAAGATCCTGAAGATTTTCAAGTGACCCTGGAATTTGATAGTCTTTAAAATGTATCACACTTTGTACAGACAAGAAAACTTCTTAATTAGATAAAGTCTGTATGATTGTTTTCTGTGCTCTGATGTCAAGTGTTTTTCAGCTATCTGGCCAAACCATCCTCAGGACAAAAATTAAAAGCAATTAATTCTGTTCATTCTAATTATATTGTGGAAATAGATTAATGAGATGATGCACTTTGCACTTTAAATCAACATACTATAAAATTTACTGTAATAGGGATCTATTTGTTTAAAATGAATTTCAGACTAGATTGATTACAAGGTGTAAGTGTACAATTTCTAATGTATTACCACAATCTAATTAGGAAAATCATGAATTAATACAAGTTGTGTCAATTCTTTTTCTCCTCCCTCTTTCTCCCAAGACACTGTTTACTCGGCTACGGGAAAACATTACAAGGAGTTAAGACAGAGCTGAAAAAATGCAGGAGCCTTTATGCCTCCTTCATATGTGAATACACAGGAGACCTCTACATACACTTTTCTTCATCTCTACTAAGTGGACTCAAGGGCTTCTGCATAGCATTAGCCACCATCACACCCTTCTGAGTCCCCTCTGGGTCTGATTACTGAATGAGATAAAGACATGCATGAAAAATACTTGTTTTTATGAAGCATTATAGTTTATTGTTCAATTTTTTTTTGTAACTTCAAGAAATTAAGATGTAGGAGAACAGATAAAATGCAATGATTTGTTTGAAACAACGCATACTGTCTGGAAGATACAGCTTATCATGGTGTCAAAACAAGACAAACTGGCTACTCCCGTGAAGGTGCATGATGGATGTTACAATTTAACTTCAGACAATTTATAAACATAAAGCTTAATTTCTGAACATACAAACATGTGATTCCAAAACTATTTCCCAAGTAGCATACAGTAGCAACAAACTAAGAGAACATAATGATGTGATGAAAAAGTCTGATAAAGGAATGTATATTTCAACTGATAAATCCCCATCACATGGTGCATGGAATTCCCATGATTTATGATTTTACAATACCTTTCAGTAGAGGGTACTTTATTTAAAAAGTAAAACCTGATATCAGTGAAAATTTGTAAAAGCTCAGATAACAGAAGTACATTTATTTTTCTTTAATTTTTTTCCAGGACCTTATGATTATAACTAGGTATTTACATTTTTGGACGTTCTCTGAATTATTTCAGTAACAAAGGAGGCTGAAGTTTTCAAGAAACCCCTTCTACTGGGACTGAAAAATTTAACTGTGAGGAAAACTATCTCTGAGTTTGACAATATACATTATACATGATTCAGGGCCTACACTAACGTTTGTTAGCTTTCAGTCAGAAACATTTTCTCTTAGTAGTTTCCTTTTCTAAAAATCAAATACAGTGTCTCCTTTGATGAAATGAACTTCTAAATACAGGATTCGGTCATTCATTTATCAATTAGAGTTTTAAGTTTCTACTGATTAGTTTTTCCCTTTTATTTTCAATAACATTTCCTAAGAGGTTCTGTAGCTAAAAAGAAAGAGGTACATCCTGCTTTCAAGAACACAGAATTCCATTAGGCCATTATTCTGTTAGTAGACAAAGGTCCAGGTCAGCTTCTGATTTGTTTACAGGGAAAGAAAATGAAAATTGTTTTAATTAATTTTTAATCCCAGGAAGTCACTGAAAAAAAACAGTAAAACAAGCTGATTATAATTAGTTGTAATGTAGAATTCCAAAATAAATATTATTCTTTAGCACGTAGATTTCACTTGTTCCGAAACCTTTCAGTAGATATTAACAGCTCCCAACACGATCTCTGGGAATAATCCTTAGTTCTGAACCATGCTTTAGGAAAACATTTCCTAAAGAAAAAAAGAGAAAGATGGTCACCTATAAGTTAAATACAGGTATGTGTTATCAATAAGAGCTCTTCAAAGAAAACAATTACTGAAAAGTATAAGATCTTAGGAATAATAAAATCAAGTTTCAGTTTTCAAATAGACAGTCAACATTTCTCTTATCAGAGGGGTAGCTGTGTTAGTCTGAATCTGCAAAAGCGACGAGGAGTCCTGTGGCACCTTATAGACTAACTGAAGTGTAGGAGCATAAGCTTTCGTGGGCAAAGACCCACTTCGTCAGATGCATGATATTAGAGGTGATAATTGGGGAAGCTATCTTTGTAATGGGTAAGATAATTGATTGATTCCCTTTGGGTGGGAATTCTCTTATGCATGAGAAACTGACTGTATGCTTCATATTTTCCACTTCCTCCATATATGCAGAGTCTAATGGACACTGCAATTTAAAACAAAAACGCTACGCACAAGGTTACATATTAAGCTCATTAGATAATAGTTAATTTATATTTCATCATGATTTTAAACATGAAAAACAACAACAAAAATCAAGGGAAGAATAAAAAGCAAAGATATTGCAAATACAATATGCTTTCAAGGCCTCCCAGAACAATGTAAAGCCTGCTGTGTCTGTTTTTTTCATTCCATATATTGTGCACAGTAGTGAGCTTTTAACACTATAACTCAGGCAGAATAGTTTCGCTGGCTGTCTCAAAAATTAAACAAAGTTTCCAAAGACCCCTCCCCCTCCATTTTATTACTACTCTAACAGGACTTGTTTTAAATAAAATATTTTCTACCTCCACAGTACATTACTGAACCATAAACATTTTCATTTTCTCCTTTTCCATAAATAATTTTGTTATATCTGAACTGTCAAATGAGATGTGCAATCATACATCACTTAGTTATTAAACTAGTGTAAACATTGCTATGATGATCATTGCAACACCTGTAATTATTCAGACATTAACATTCATTTCCACCCATCATTAACATTTCTCTCAAGAATTCTGAGTATTTGTATGTGCTTACATTACTTCAAACATGCAAAACGGGTCACTTTCTTTGGAAACATTTTCTTTTTAATTAAGTACAGTAAGGGTGGACAAACAATTTGTGATTGGACAGTTAAGGCACCCAAAGAATTTAGCTTTGAGTGTTATGACATTACCAAGGGGAAAAAATATGAAAACATCCTAACATGCCTTAAAAGTCAGTTTAGTTTTTCATAATCATATGGCAATTTAATAGAACTATACAGCAGAAAAGCGTTTCTGGATTTGATACATGTGCATTTCCATACTTTAGCATGTTTGGATTTAGAACCATATTTAGTTATTGGATAGAACCATAACTCTGAATTTTTTGCGCTTGTAATTCTTTGTTTTAATTACAAAACTCTTTTAATTATTTTGACCTTTTTATCACTTAGGGCTACCACCTTTCTGACAGCACAAAACCGAACACCCCTTCCCTCTCCCTGCTTC